TATCCCAACCACCACCACCCTCTCTTCTAAAATAACCTCCTCTCAAGCCACTCTTGGTTCTCCATCGAGTGCCAAGAAATCCAAAAAGGGGATACTCACATCCAAGCTGTTACCTCTCAACAGGTTTCAGTCATTGAAACAAGCCTTACCCCCGAAGCAACATCTACTATTACCCCACCTAGCTCTTTAGTGATTTCTTCAATCATTGTCGTATATGTGGCTCCTCCACCAACCGCCTCAGTGACCCAAATCACTGAAGGTATGAATATCAGCATAGCCACTGTTAAACACCCACTTCCACCACTATCAACCATTTTCTCTTTTCCTCCTTCTTTGGTCTCAACACATGCTGGTGATTCATCAGTGATTGTCCTCACTAGTGATGAAGCAATCACCACAGAACCTAAGGTCGCTCCTCTTGAGATACCTTGGTCACTGAAAGCCTATCCTCTTGAAGGCAACCAAGAGAGAACCAGCATCAATCCTTCAGATGGTATTGATGACCCTTCAGGTACTATACCATCCTCTTACCCTTTCATTTCTTCTAACCAAGAGCTACCTTTTGCTCAAATTTCTTCTTTTCAAGGTCCTCTTTGATAAAGAACCTTCAGTCATAGAAGTTGATTACAACATGGCTGAAGATGTCAATCTACTCCCGAAGATAGCCACTGTCTTGGACAAAATGACAGAAGTCCATCAAGATATGCCTATCAAGGAAGACCTCTATTTTGACCTCTCTACTGTCAAAGTTGAAGTCAGTCAGATAAAATATTTGTTATCTGCGGTGCAAGCCGATGTATGCACCAATGCTGAGGCCATCTCTACTCTCTCTGACAAGGTCGATGAAGCACAAGCACAACTTACCACGCATGGTGAGCTGATGCAGCAAAAATTGAATCTTCTTCAGCGTCCAGCGCTAGTTTCTGCACCTTCCTTCACAAAAGCTGATACACTTTCATTGGATCAAGTACTTGAGCTTGATCTTATTCAAACTCAAGCACTGGATGATTTCGAGTAGTGATTGGATCTTATTGCCAACAGTCTTGATAAACTCACCTCCCGTTCTGCTGATGACAAAGAGGGGTAGAAATACTTACCTCAAGCTGCTACTGTTGTCCCTACAACACCTACATATGCTGATGCTCAAGATGAAAGAGCTGAAGCCAATAAAGCTAATGCTGAAGTTGTAGATGCCATCACATCCTGTGAAGTTAAAGTTGTTGCTGAAGCTGAGGACAATGATGATGCATTCAAAGATAATGCTAAAGACGACGACCTTCTTATCACCTCTACAGCTAATGTTGGTGATAAGGAAGATGAAGATGAAGATGATGATGACAGTGAAGCTGATGATCCTCTTTCCTTTCCTGATGCTGGAAAAGATCTAGGTGCTGATGATGATGATGAAGACTACGATGATGACGACTTTCACCATTCAATACCACACCAGACCAGTTGTCGCTCATAAAAGAGTCTTTCTTAGGGATTCTTCATCCCAGGGGGAGAAATAGATGTCTGGAAAGAACCAGAACACCTCCTCTAAGAACAAAGATGTTGCTGAAAAAGGAAACCTGACCGTTCTATTCAAGCCTATCAATCCCCAAGGATATGCTCAATCCTCCAGGTTTGTCATCGTCACTTCTATCTATAAACTCTCCTCTATAATCCATTCTATTACCTATGGTCGTCTAGATGAGTGGGTACATCAAAACCCATTATATGGAATTCCTACAGACTTACAGATGGCTTAGCTTAAGGAGTCACTCGACTGAACTAGAGTAAAAATTCCTCTTCGTGCCTCTAGTTATGGTGAGTTCGACTTTCTTAATGAAGCTGAAAGAGTTGAAGCACTCAAGGCTGAGGAAGAACTCCGCATTAAACATCAACAAACTGAAGACAGCCTAAAGCTGGCCAAGTCTCTTGCCACTCAAGTTCCAAAGAAAAAGTCTAAGAAGATGAGCGTTGTCAAGGCTCAGGCTAAGTTGCTCTCAATAGTTGAATCTGAACATCAATAAGCAATGATGTTGAAAGGTCGAGACAAGAAATAGAGCGAAGATCATTTAAAAAAAAAAAAATAAGTCCCTATCCCATCTCAAACATCACAATCTGTGGATGAAAGAAAGATGGTGGACTACTTATCTCCATGTTTATCATCAAAGACAACCATGATGTTGTCACTGAGTATGCTTCCTACCTTGGACAATATGGCTATAGTAAATTGCTAGAAATACGCTAGGCCATTCAGTGCTCAAAGTAAAGGAATAAGCAAAATATTGAAGACATCCTCAGTGATCTCATCAAGAAGATGTCCAAGTTTGTTGCTATTCCTTCAAAGCCAACATTGATGCAAGGTGGAAGAAGAAAACCTTCTGATCCTAATGATGGACCAACTCTGTGGAATGAACATGAAACAAAATCCTCTTTGAACGAAATCCTGAAGGATTCGAAGAAGTAGATATCTCTATGTTGAACCTATCATTGCCAGCGAAGGGTCCTTACACACCCAACTCTGTGCACCTAAAGCCTGAGTATGGATTTATATTCATCAACTAGGATGGCGAATACATATTTTAGAGAGTATTTCAGTTCCGTCTATGTCCTCTAGAACATCTTCAATTTCTGAGATATTGGTTGGATGATGACCCTCATGGTTAGGCGATGGATCGCAAGATCAGGAAGAAAAATCTACGTCGAAAGATGCTCGAAGAAGAAGTACCTGGCTACATCAACTTCAGCGACTTAGAGTAGTTATAACTTTCTATCTTGTAAATATTATTTTCTATGTCTTTTCTTTCACTTTTACAACTTATATGTAATAAGTCTAGAATGTACTTGTAACACATGTATCTTTCCTTTTGAATAATATAAGTATTTCACCAGTATCACTAAGAAATATCCCTGAAAAGAGTAATAGGGACACGTACCTATGAGTTCCAGTTTGCTCTTGCATTCACTAATAATCTTTAGTCAGTGAACATAGTTTCAGTTTCAGTTTCCCTTCTTGTACTTGTTCCTCTTAAACTTGTAACTTAAGAAAACTTATAAAAGAAAAACGGTATCACTAAAAAGGATTCCAAAATAGTTAAAAGAGGCATGTACTTTACGTGTGACTTTTCCTTACTATTATATCCTACGCAATCTTCTTTATGTTGCTTTGTCATCATCAAATAGGGAGAGATCGTTCATCCTCTCTCTCATTGATTTGATAAAAATCTCTTTTACCTATCGAAGTATTACGTTTCTGTCTATTCAGTTTCTACGATCATCATTGAGTCTGTTCAGTGATCGTTGAACATGTATTGTAACTCTACATTGACAGTTATACTTCAAGAAGACAAAACTCACACCAAAGAACCTTCAGCAAATGTCGAAGACTGAAACTGAAGATTAGTGACTACTGCATTCGTGATCTGAAGTGGTACTCAGTGATTACAATCTGGTCAACATATGTGTGAAGACTGCATAAGCCTTAGTGAATGTTGAAGAGACCTCCAGCGTCATTCCAGCATTCAACGATCAAATGAAGCTTGCCATGCACGATTGTTTTTGTCTTGTCCTTCCACACACAAAGGACAAACTCATAGCCTCTCTAGAGTATAGTACCACATGGAGCCGATTAGTTGACTCTAGTGCTCACCAACTCTATGAAAGGATGTCTGCTCATGAATAGACAAAAGTACTATTCACTATAGCAAAGGACAAGCTTTCCTCTAAAATCTTGATGCATGTTCTACCTCTTCAGAGTTGCATCTAATGCAATGAAAATAAATAGTTGAATGCTCTCTCTACTTAGACATTATATGATACAAGTAGATTAGAATTCCTCTCTCTAATTCTAAGAAGCATATCCATGAAGAACACACTTCTAGTCTTATTTCTTTCGGAAAATCTCTTATATTTGCTAAGTGTATTTGTGTGTATTTCTAAATTGTTTTAGATAGGTCTTTATTTACCTTGTCTATTTCGCAAACAATCTGTAAAAATCTGTATTGATCCTTTCTTATCAATATATATTTTTAAAAGTGAAAGTTATTGTGTTTGTATTCAACCCCCCCTACAAACTGATCACCTCTAAACTCTTGTAGATCTGGATGGGACCAACAGGATGGTTTAGATGATAGCCCCTAGTTTATAGCACACCATTCACCATAGAAACACAAAAAGGATCATACCTATGCTAATGGAATATCGTTACAATGTTGAAGGGTTGTACATCTATGCTAAAAGAAAGCTCAAAGGACATGCTCATACATCGAAAGAGCCGAAGGCCAAACCTCAAGAATAAACTTAAAACAAATTGTAACACCCCAAAATCTAGAAAAAAATGACTAAAATAAGATATTTGGAAAACACCAAGAAGAAATATTTCCAAAAGATAATAGTTGATTACTTATAATGCAATATAAGGTTGAAGATTAACATCTATCAAACCTTACAGAAGATCAAGATTAAGATGGGTGTTACTAAACCATCTATAATGTGCAAATGACGTCCCAAAAATGCTATGTTTTTAACGTCCCTTTCACTAGCACTCAACTTTTCTCAAGTGTCGTTAATACCATCTTCGCAAGAACCTTATGCATATGTTGGCAAGAAAAAGTGTGAAGCTTAAAGTTTAGTGAGTTCAATCATTAAGATTTCAGCAAAATAAATAAAGGAAGCTTTTAAATAACATTTCTTTTTCTTGATAGATATGTTAAGATTTCATTCCAAGACACCAATTTCATGGCATAAAACACGTGTTTCATCCAACGTGACGAGAACATAGAAGTAAGTCACATATCAATGTTGACGACTTTCACCTCAATCAGTGATCGGGGAGTATGTAACAACCCAAAATCTAAAAATAAAAATATTCATAACCAAAATCCAAACCGGCACCAAAACTAATCTGAGAGCAAGGTTTCTCGTTATATCTCATCATATTGCAGCGATTAAAATACATCCACAGCTGAGAATAAAAAAAACTAAGAACAACAAAAACTAAACTGACAAGCCATCCTCTAGATGGATCAAATCTTCCCCTTTCCCTTCGAGCTACTCTCAATACGAAACTTCCCTAACAATTGGTTTAGTTTTGAAAAGCTAGGATTAAAACCAAAAGGTCTAGTGAATTCTTTTTAACATACATAAATAAGCATTGACATTAAAGGTAACTTCCATAAAGCCCCAAAAATATCCAAGTTAATAAACAATCACAAAATATCGGATTTTACACAATGTTCATAGACCACTGTCACTCCACTATGACATTTATAACCAAGACGATGAAGACGCTTATCGAATGTGCTTAATCCCATTGTGCAAACCCAATCACATATCCAAAACAATATCACATGTAATAAATGGTATTTAAAACAAGTAATCATTTAAGATAGAAACCATGATCAATACTTTAGAAACATTTGTAAATAATCCCACGTTTAGTAAAAGCTTAAGGGAACTCACCTGACGCTCCGCACACCATCAAACATCCTAATGGCTAATAAGGCTCAAACCGAACACACTTAAACTAATGACATAGGAATGGTGTTAAACCATCTCAATTATCTCAAAGACCACTTATTAATATCCCTAAAGCAATCCCCTAAAACAAATCCTTGAACCTACCGTGAATCGAGAAACGAAGGAAAATCTACAAGATATCGAATAGTGCCTGTTGATCCTCTATCTCAGTGATTTGATGATAATCCTTTTTCACTTATACGTTGTATTTATGTTTCTGTCTTTTCAGTTCCAGGGATCATCACTGACCCTGTTTAGTGATCGCTGAAGAACTTGTATTGTAATTCAATCAGAGACAGCGATACTTCAAGAAAACAACACTCACACCAAAGAACCTTCAGCTAATGTCCAAGACTGAAACTGAAGATTAGAGATTGGCGAGTACGTGATATAAAGCGGTACTCAGTGATTACAAGCCCGTCTACATATGTGTGAAGACTGCTCAAGCCTCAGCGAATGCTGAAGAGACCTCCAGGTTATTCCAGCATTCAGCGATCAAAGAAAACTTGCTTAGCACGATTGTTGTTGTCTTGTCCTTACACACACAAAGGACAAACCCATACCCTTCTACACGTTGGTACGATACGGAGCCGACTAGTTGACTTTATTGCCTGCCAACTTTAGGTAAGGATATCTGCTCATGAATACTGTTTTTTGTACTATTCACTATAGCAAAGGACATGCCTTCCTCTTAAGGCTTGACACGCACTCTAACCGTACCATTTTGTATTAAATGAACATTTAATGCACTGGTATAAATAGAAGTGTTTCTTCTCCATGCAGAGTGCGCGTAACTCACTCTCTAAACCTAATTCTTTCTTTGAGAATTTTCTAGCTTAAGTAAAGAAACTTTTCTTACAGCATTTCTTTTCTCATTTGCAAAGAATCTGTGAGTAATCGAAGATTGTTTAGATAGGTTTTCTTACCTTATCTTTTTGCAAACAGTCTT